TTTTAAACCCGACATTGTTACCAATTTAGGAATTGTCAAAGATGACCCTAACGCTGGAATACTTTTTAATGAAATCGTTAATGAGAAATGGAACGGTTGGCTCAATATCTTTACAGATGCTTCCAGATCCACCACAGACGATTTTGTTGGCTCTGCCGTCTGGATCCCTACATTTAATATCTCCTTAACTTTTAAATCTCCCTCTAAAGCGTCCGTATATTCGGGTGAGGTGATCGCTGTTTTTGAGGCAGTTTCATATGTTGAATCCCACAAATTAGACAAATCTGTAATTTTTACAGACTCTCGTAGCTGCCTGGACGATCTGTTAAAATTCCCCTTTCGTAGCAAAGATGTTCACCCAATCAATCTTAAAACAAAAGAGCTCCTTTACAATTGCTCTAATCTTGGCATTCAAATTGTACTTGTTTGGGTTCCTGGACACTCTGGCATTCCTGGGAACGAACAAGCGGATAGATGGGCTTAATGGGCGACACATTCTGGTACCATTATATATGATAAATGTTTTTCTCTAGACTTACGTTCCTAGGCTAAGATTGATTTACATAATAACTGGAAGACTTACTGGTCGTCTTCTAGCAGACAAAAAGGCAAACATTATGCTGGTCTTCAACCAGTAATACCCAAGAAACCTTGGTTTTTCGAGTTCCGCGAGGCCAGTAAAAGAACAACTTCAACTATCATCCGATTGCGCCTAGGACATAACTGCAGACCTACTTTTCTTGCTAAGCTCAGGATAAGGGATCACTCCCTTTGTGAGTGCGGTCTTGAAGAAGGAACTCTTGACCATATATTTTTTAACTGTGCATTATATCCCGTCTCTTTATACGATCTTCTTCCAGATTGTATCCCTGGTCCCACAATTTTTTATAGTGACCATTCTCCCCTAAAACCTCCTCTACTATTTACTTTATTTAAATATATTGAACAAAATAACATACGGTTATAACTTTTACTATGTGCACAGCATGTCTTTACGCTTTTCATCCAAAGTAGCTAGTCAAATAACCCCGTGTTTTGTCTTTGACCATTGGATGGTGCAACCGATCATCGTCGTTTGAGTGAATCTTGATAAATATACCGTGTATTCAACCCGGACACTGGCAGAATTGTCCTCAGTGGGACAGAAGCCAAATACCCCAAAAAAAAAAAATTTTTACAGAGTGCCTAGCCTACCTTAATTACTTTTGTTGAAATTAAAAAATGAAACAAACCTACCTTACGTAAATAATTAAAATTAAACTTTCATCGTGTCGGTACCTAAGTTGTTACAACTAAATAGAATGAAATTAACACAAGATTACAGGTTTGAATAAAAGGTTTAAAAGATATGTGGAAAACTAAAGGGAATCTGTATTTATATACAGTTCGGCTGCGATTCGAAGTTAAAAAAGAAAATGACGGGCACAATACAAACTACACAAAGTAACTATATATAATTAAGAAAGTTATTAAATTTCTCGCCGAGCTCGACGCTCCCCCACCTTCTTCGCGGCAACCTTTGGCGGACCAGCCGGCGCTGGCGCAGCAGTCGCACGAAACACGGTGGATGCCGGAGTCGTCACAGGGGCATGCGACGCAGTTAACACACCCAGTTGCTCGATGGTGGTCAGGCGGTGTTTCTTACCGCTCGGCAGCTTCACATCAATGTTCCCATCTTCCCATATTCTTTCTCTGCTTTGTCAAAAACTCGGTGACCACTATGGAAGAGCCCTTCAGTGCAGTTTTCCTTGACCACACAGAGTTACGCATGTCCAGCTCAGCAAACCTCACCAGTACATGTGCAACCCCCCCAAGTCTGTGACAAGCAACAATGGACCTGCGAGTAACATTTGGCAATTGAAGAGTTTTGTGGCAGATGTTCTCAATTGTGCCTACAATATCCCCATCAGTTGCTTCCGGCACACCACCAAACAGCAAATATTTCCTCCTGTGCCGCATTTCTATGGAATCAACAGTGTTGCTGAGACTAGAAATCTGCTGCCTAAGCAGCTGCAGAATGCAGCCTACCTGATCTTTAAATGATAGGAACTCCGTGGTGAGGCTGCCAATGGTGTGCGCTTGAGGTGACGCAGCTTTCAGTGCAACATCAAACTCAGCAAATCGCTGCATCAATGAAGTCTCCAAGTTCTTTTGCATCTCCAGGATGTTACTATAAGTTGCCATGACGAAATTGATGTTTCCAATAATAATTATTAAGTTTTAATTGTTCCGTTATGTAGTGACAGTGCAAAATATTACAAAAATCCAAAGGTCTGCTGGCAGGTATGTACTAACATTCACTGAAATGACATGGGAAGTATTCACCAACACTGCACGTGATACATATATGTAATATCTATCAAATAACACGAAATTTATAATAAACTTTAATTGATTTTAATAAATATTTGACTATTAATGGGAGTGACTTGTTTGTTGTCTCACACCTACCCGCGAATTTTCTGCTTGGCGGGAAGATTAGGTAAGGTGGCAGTACTTCCCTGGACGAACTCTTTCAAAAGAAGTTGTACGGCTACTAAAAATAATTACCACAACGAAAAATTCCTTGGATCTGACAGGACTCCAACCTGCGTCTGTCTGTATGCCAATCTAGGGTAACCGCTCTATCAACTGAGCTACAACTCTCATATTTTTCCTCCCATTCTGCATAAGTTTTAATTGTAGTGACTCTCCCTATCAACCTTTTGGTTATGCGGGAAGGGCTTTATAACCCGTGGGCGCACAGGAACCTTATAAGGTCAGGTTCTAACCCCAAATCAGCCTGTGTACAGGGTTGTCACAGACCGTTGTCACTGACTTCATCCAGTTCTCAAGAAGCTAGTGCCTCGGGAGAGCCGCTCCGGGTGCACGTACAGAACCCTCCCCATTTTCGAGATAAGTACCGGAGCTGTAGGCACGCTCACTTCCTTTACTTTTTCTAATAATACTATAAGCCTTGCTTATATTTATTTATTTACGGGAAAGCAACAGCATCAAAACATAATAAAAACAGGAACAAACACTGACAGCTAATTACAGTTTCCTGTTATCTAACAACAAGGTAAGTAATTAATTATATTTAGAAAATCATTGTTATAGTTATATTGCGCAAGATTTACTTGATATTTTTTTTTACGAAAACCATTTCGAATGTCACCATAGGTATGTGTACATATAGTAAATTTTCTTAAAAATAAATTCAAAACCTTTGTACATAAAAAGAGCTATTGGACAAAACTTATTAGGATAATTTGCATTTTAGATTTGGACACAACTGTGATTTTTTATAAGACAGGAAAGGTTTCTTCGGAAAAAGATTAGTTTTCTAAGTGTGTTAAACGTACCGCTCATCATTTTTACATTGTGTAATTAGCATCGGGGTGGGAATTTCATCTTGATTTGTGTTTCTAGATTTTAATGATATGTTTTATTTCATTTTGTTTTACAGGTTTCAAATGCGTTGATCTACTTGATGCAAACGGTCGATCTTTTGGACTTATCTGTTTCAGTAGCCCTTGTTAACACAACGGGTTTTCATTTAGGATATTAGGAGTTATGTCAAGTTTTATGTTTTTAATTTTATTACGCTCACAAAATTTCCCTTCTGTCAACTGGAACTGTAACTTGGAAAAATGAGTGCAGTAAGTACAACTGACATATTAAGATGTGACGTGACTGAATTACTTTCGCTCAAATTAAAATATTTTAAATTGTGAGTAAATGTCATAACTGTTAAACCAGGTAGTTTCGTGGGTAACGTTATTTTGTAAAATCTCAATAGGTGATCCTATTTCAAATCCCATCTAAATTCACTAGTAACAAATGGAAACCTTTTATCGGTTCCGTGAAACCGCGTAGAATTAAATCCAAATATTTGTTTAAAGTAATGATTAACATCACAATAGATTGTCGATCAACACTTTGAATATTACAGTCATTTCATTGCAATATGTTTATACTAAAAACGCTACGACGAGTAAAAATAAAGCCTTGGCGCTGATAAAAGAGCGTATTCGACTTTCATAACAAAGATTTTTATTAAGTTTCAGCTAAAGTAGTGAAGCACGCCGCGCGCTGGCGCATGCCAGTGTCGCATAATGTTGTTGTTCTGCCCTACGAAGCAGTGAACTGGATAGTATTTTATGTACTTGAAATTTTATCTTAAAGAACCATAAGTAAGTACCTACATAACTTTACCAAAAATGGTAGTGATTCGTTGATGAAAAAGAAAGATTCGTAATCTTCACTTACCTCGCTGCCAGGGAACGGATATAAGTAAGTATTTATCTATATGATCTCCCGGGGCGGTGCGTCCAGACCTCAAGAGAACCCGGGAAAAAGGGACTGGGCGTGACAAAGGCGCAAAGGGTGCCTAAAGAATTTTCAACACTTAACGTCCAACGAATTTCCATATTTATAGGCTCGGCTTTATTTATATATTGTAACGTAGTTTTTACTGCGTTTTATAGTGTTCTTGTTAGATGGTAATTTCTTTGAAAAGCAACAACGTAGCTATGTTTAAAACATGCTGAGATTCATGTGATCTTTAAAGTTAATGTAAAGTACTTTCTTATTTGTTATTTAATTTTCAGTATGAAGTCTTTTCAGACTATAAACTGTATTAAATTACCCGCGCCATAATCTGGGTTACAAACATATTAATTACTATATTTTATAGTTTTTTGGTGCATATAGGCTTCTTGTATAATAACAATAAAAAGTCATACACTTCTAGCCTTGCACTAGGGAAATCCTGTATCGCGGGTGCCAAGGACACATATAGATAACGACAAATCACACCCACAGCCACGAGAGAAATAAATGTAGACTATACAAATATTTCTCCCAGTCCGAGAAAAGAACTCGGGTCCTCTGCGTGTCTGGCCAGCATGGTAATCGTTTGGTCACGTACGCAGTATGTTGGCTCAGTTATAAAACTAGTAGGTAACGATTTATTGTCTGTCAATCGAGACTGTCACGGCGGAGGCACGTTAGTAGCCGTTGGGATAAGAACTATATGATATCGGGATATCATGTCGCCGTCTACTTTCGAAGAATCTATAGGCGTGGTCATTGACCTTGGCTCTAAATTCACAAAAGCGGGATTCGCTACCGAGTCTTCTCCGAGAACAATCTTTCCTACTGCCGTTGGACGGTAATACACTCTGTGTTTGTACTCGTACATCGTATATAGTGTTGGTTATTGCAAGTTCGTATCCTTACTGCACGTAAGGCTGCACAAGCCTTGAAATTTAAATTTACTAAATCTAAGTATCAAAAATGTATCATGACTGTATTCATGACACCTACATTATTCAAATATACTTTCAAAATTCACTCATTACTTTTGTTCACAGATTTAGACATCAAGCTCTTTTAGATGGTATCCCGCAGTTCTTTTTTGGGAATGAAGCAATACAGAAGCAGGGTATATCAAAGCTCAACTGGCCAGTGGAAAGCGGTATCATTAAGGACTGGGATGAGATAGAGAAGCTATGGCATCATACTTTCTTCCAGGAACTACTTGTGCCCCCGGAGAACACTAGGGTCTTGCACACTGTGCACCCACAAATCCCTAGAGGAGACAGGTGCTCACTCTCTCTATGGTAGTAAGTCATGTTATACAGTAGTGAGAGCTGGCATCAATTTACTTTGTAATTAATGAATGAACAACGATTTATAGGTGATTGATTGGGTAAAACAAAATCGTAGATTGGTATAGTTAATTCTATTTATAGAAAATTAATAGACTCCGAATTGCAAAGATCAGTCGAACAGCTCAGATATCATTCATCGTATAAATTAATTTCAAGTAATTAAAAAAGCCATAGTCGCGCAATAAATACGTGAGCTTGTTTTGATAACGACAAGGATTATTTGATAACTACACGTGTAACGGACGCGCTTATGATACGCGCGTCCATTACACGTGTAGTTGCAAGATAAAATAGACAAGATCCCGCTATTTTAGTGTGAACGTTAGTTATGTTATTTCTTACTTTCAGAGAAAGAATGGCCGAGACAATGTTTGAATCTTTCGCTATCAATTACCTTTATGTGGTAAAGATTCCAGTTTTAGTGTTGCACGCGAGTGGTCGGACCACAGGCGTCGTGTATGAAAACGGAGCCGAATGTGCTTACGTCGCGCCAATATATGAAGGATTTCCGTTAAAACATGCTATCGAAGTCTCAACACTAACCGGAGAGAAGCTCACCGATATACTAACTAAGTCGCTGAGCGCTATAGGATACTCATTCACCACACCGGTTGAAAGACAGATCGTCAATGATATGAAGGTCTGTTTTGGTTAATTTTACATCACCATTTTTAAAGCAAAATTGGAGAGCCCTACTCTTCCTTCTTGCACTGTATAGCGTCTTTGTTTAGGGTCGATTTAGATGTTGTTTTCTGGTGCATCTGAATTCATATCTTTTTCCAAGAATGTCTTTTTCGGCTCCGCGGCTGGTCAATGTAAGGTATGTTTTTATCTACAGGCCAAGTTGTGCTATGTACCCTTACAATATGACGAAGAAATGAACTTACGCGGCAATAATCAAGTTAAATACGACTTACCCGACGGGCAACAAGTGATAATTGGCAACGAACGGTTTAAATGTCCAGAGGTATTCTTCCAGCCTTCACTCCATGACTTCAACTGTCCGAATGTAGTCGAAAACATTTGCAAGAGTATTGAGAGAAGTGAAACTGAATATCAGAAGCTGTTTTACGAAAATATTGTTATTTCTGGTGGGACTACCATGTTGAAAGGTTTAGCTGACCGACTGCTTGGGGAATTGTCTCGAAGGCCCAAATTACAAGCCAACACGAAGGTAGGAATTGATGAGATGCCGTATCCTCAGAATCTGGCTTGGACGGGCGGCTCGATAGTTGCGTCGCTGCAAAGCAGCAAGGGCTTCTGGATCTCTAAGCAAGAGTACGACGATATTGGCGGAGACGTAGTTAATTACAAGTTTTTTTAGTTTATAGCACCCTTCGAAAGATTTACAACCTTGTTACGAGTAAGTTTTAAGGTTTATAAAATATATCCACAAATACAGACATTTCAATTTAGTCTACCGGAACCAAATTGTCAGCAGTTGTCTGAAATAGTGGATTGTTCACAAACGACAATATATATATATATATATATATATATATATATATATATATAAACAAATAAGCAAACTTAGTTCTATCAATTGAAATAAATATTGTCACGAGGACGTTTATCACACAACTAATGCCATATTGCGGCCACTTAACTCGATTGAAAAATACGAATACAGACATAAAAATCGCCATATTGGTTTATATTAGCTACTTTCATTGATTGATGAAAAAAACGCAGTCATTGTGGTGCGGAAATATAGAAGTCATTAATAGAATATTTGTCCTACATAAAATAGCTTTTAGGACAATTTAGAAATTGAGCCCTAAAGTGTCTTTGAGAGATAAACTTAAAGCAATTAACATTTATGAGAACGTAATTTATGGAGTAATATATATATATATATATATATATATTACCACTATTTTTGGAGTGTTAAATGGTTTTTTAAAACGGAATTAACTGTCAGAAAATAGAACAGTTTAACCAATATTGTACTATCCCTTTTCCTTCATTCATATTAGTATATAAAAATCTCTGAATAGACATTAAGGTACTATATCAAGCAGTTTCCCCTAATAATTTTTGTTAGCTGTTTCTGTGTTATTGTGTATAAAAGTTAGAAAATAAATAGGAGTATTTTATTATATCCTAATTCTGATTAAAAAAATTATATGAATCCAGATTATTGGTTAATAGCGTATTGCGTCAGTGGCTGTCTAATCACTTCCCAATGTTAAATACTAAAAACGCTTCATTCCCTTTAGGTAAAAAATACCACTTTAATCCGCTTATGTGATGCATATTATTCATCTAACTTTACCAGTGTTAGAAGTGAAAAAGCTATACAATCTGTTGATTTGCATTCTGGCCATACTTACAGAGGTCATTCATTCTATATCCGAAATTGAACCCAAATCACTAAAAAAATAAATCGAAAAGAATTTTTTTTAGTTTTTGTAGTTTAGATCTATTTGGGAGTGGGGTGCGGGTATCGACGGCGGGGGAGCATCGTATCGAGCGCGAAATTGGTAGATCTATCAACCTTGCTTCCCGTACTGCGTCTACGTCACGCTGACATCCCACATACATTCTATTCTAGTCTGTCACGAAATAACACGTGGTTTGGTATGTAAACAAGAATTAGTAGTGCAAAAAAGAACCGCTACCAGGTTCATCAGAACCTGCATGGTAATCCATCAAGTACAAATGCGTGTCTGTTCTTATGGCATGATGTGAAACGTTTAGTTTACGTGGAGGATACGAGTGTCGAAGTTTCTGCTTTCAAAGTTGTGAAGTCTAATGTTGAAATGAAATTCACGAGCGAATCTCTGCATAGCTGGTGGTAGCTCCGGTATGGAGCCAGCTACCAGCTGTGGAGCTAGGTACTTATAGCAATACTTTCATGTAACCTAAAGTTGGAAAATACCAAATCTAAGTTACAAAAAAACTTTTTTCAGTCAACTTTTCTAAATAATGTAAATAAATAGTAAATTATAACATTACCAGTACATAACCACAATTAAAAAGTAGATAAATAAGCTATCGAGAAAGATTACATATCGCTCGGTAAAGCGGGTGGCGGGGTCACTGCCCTAGCGTGGTGCATACGACTTGAGATAATTTTGCAAAACTTTACTGGATACAATGAGCCAGAATATTAAACAGAATAATTTTTTAAATATTTTGACATGATTAAGCATTATTTCTATTACCAATTCCTTAAATATGGCAAGAATGCAAATCAACACACTGTTATGCAGTCTATAACATTTTGGCTTAAAGTATTGTTATAGATACATATCAAATATTTACGTACGACTTCGTAAAACATTAACAACACACATTAAAATATTATATTAAAATCATATTAAAATCTATTATTATTATTACTTTCGTTCTAAAATATGCAACCTACTTTTTGCAAAAAAAAAAAAGACTTGATTCTGGCGAAATCTTAAGAATACCGCTAATAAATTTAAGAAGAAGAAGCTATTTTTTTACACAGCTATTTTTTTACTATTAATTAAAATAGCACGAATAAATATTTACTTCAATTATATTGCAACCTATTTTTAAACCCGAATGGTAATAGCATGCAATAGACAGCTGTTATTGTTCTAATAAAAGAAAAAGAAAAATGTCCGCTAGACCATGCCAGCGCGGTGAACCAAACAATAATCTTTGAGTTATGCGTATCGTTGGTTTGTTTGTGATTTTCTTTTAAAATCTTTAAGGTAAATGGTTTAATAAGATATCTATTTGTGCTCTGTGATTAAAAATATAAAAAATCGGTATACAAGAATAATAATAGTGATTTATATTTGTCCGAATATATTTTATAATCCAAGGATTTGGTATTATAGTCTTTGGTGGAAAGAAATGGCGAGTTTTGAGAAGGTAGGTTGTATTTTGTCTTAATCATTAAAAATATTTTTACACTTGAATCAGGATTGTTGTTGTTTCTTGTTTTTTATGTTAGTATTTTATATATTTTAGTTAGAATTAATTACTACAGATATCTATAGTAGAATTATTGCACAGTTTAATAAAAAAAAAAATTGTGTATTTGTTTGAAAGCCTGCTGTGATAATCGACAACGGCAGCTACTGTATAAAGGCCGGATTTTCGTGCGACAATCACCCTGTGGCGATCTTTCGTACAGTGGTCGGCCGCCCCAATACTATTGCGGGCCGCTACGGGCGCCCCGGCCAGTACTACGAGATTCTTATCGGAGACGATGCGGGTGAGGACACTCGCTACCGCTTATAAAAAGACTAAATGCTTTTTACAGGTTTTCTGAACTATTTTATTACGTTGAACGCCATGAACAACATGCGGGCAACAGTTAAATATTTGTGGAGGCCCAGCTAAAATTCGGTATTTTGGAAAATATCATACTTGTGTTTTTGCTTCGTATGGTGGGAAATATACTCATATTAAAACGCATAAAATAATTGTATAATTATTAATTTTTAACATGGTTTGGTAAATAGTACCGTCACTTACCTTTCGTATTAGAAATCTGCGCGCAAAAGCGCTTTTTGCACGCTAGCGTGGAAAAGGTTTTTCAAATTCGAACCTGACGATGGGGTGGTGCACATTGACGTATGGTGGTGCACATTACTTTTTCCTACGATGAAAAAAATCATAATGACACGTTCAAGTCCGTCATTTGTCGTACATTATTTATGTAATTTTTTTGCTTGCCGTAGGCCGTAGGGACGCCCCTATGGCCCCAAAAAACCGTGTTTTATCTTGCGGGGGCCGCGCGGGTCAACCTCGCCGGACTTAGTCAGCAATGTTATAAAGACCACATGGAACGTAAATTAGCAAAAATAAAATATAAATGTTTCTACTTTCTGTGAACGCTGCCCATTTTTTTATCAATTGTTTCCATACAATTTATTGACTAATTTATAGGTCCCCTGATTTGATAATGTTAATTTAATTTTATTAGTTTGGACAGAAAAACTGTTGTTGCTGCTGCTGTTAACCGCTGAGATAAAGACGTTATTATGTCAATTAATTACTATTTTTAATTCATAATTCTTAATTAATTTATTTAATTTGACAGAAAAACCAGTGATCTGCACTAAATTGTTTGTTTAATTACGTAATAAATAAATGAATAATTTCAAATAGTATAAAATCCATGGTTTTCTCAGCCTTAACATAATTAACAATATCATATATTTAAATGTAAACTTCCATACGAAAAAGATTTATACTAGACAAACTCTAAAATGTTGTTTTGTGCAAAAGAAGCGAAATTTTGTAAAGTTTAATATAATTCTTACAACCAATAAATACCCGTCAACAGGGCTGCGGTAGCCACTTTAGGTATGAATTTGTTTGATTAATGTGTTGTCCAATGCTAAATCAAGTGTTTACTATGACTACACCATTGTGTTACACATGCTGCACACCCATATCTAAATATATACTATAGGATATCTAATAGAATTTAATTCCATTGAATATTTTAAGAGTTCAAATTCCCTCACGATGTCTCGAAGGGGACGTTTTCAGATAACCTCCAAAAATGTGTCCCTTTCAATAACTTTTTTGTTATTACATGAATGCTAAGCATTATTTATTTAATATGATTGCTTGATTGTTTAGTCTGTGTTACACATAAAAACACTACTTTACTACGTCACAGTAATAAATAAAAATTAAAAAAGTGGGCAATTTCGCATTCATGGGAGCCGGTTCCACGTCGCCCTAATTTTAAGAAACGAAGAAAAAAAATGAAACACTCGTGGAAATCGCAATATTTCCCATTGAGGATAAACTCTAATAACTTACACGACGAATACATACCGTAACTTTCCAATTTATTATAAACAAACATGTTTTCTTGGGGATACAAAATGTGTTTCAATTTGTCTTATCATTAGTGTCAATTCAACTAAAAACCTCCTAATAACAAAAGTTCATACCGCATCCCCTTCACCTTTCGCACACGTGAGAAGGGGCTCCTGTCGGATTGGAGTGTATACAGTGAAGTAACCTGTGCATCTCCGTTTTAGCAAAAAACCGACTTAAATACTAACTTCAGCGCTAGTGAGTCGTTCTCATTCATGTAAAGCAATCTATTTAAATGAGTATTAAGTAATAGTTTTATAAACGTTATTGTACACCAATTAGACAAAGGGAACTTTAAAATCCATGCACTTTTATGACGATCCAGCATATTTTACACAACAATTCAAAATTTTAATTAAAAAAAAAATTTATTCAACATTTTCATTAATGACGTCACAAAGTCTATCAAATATTCTATTCCCTTTGTTTATGCCGACGACTTAAAACTTCTCAAAGTGGTACGCTCTGTGGAGGATTCCAAAGCTTTGCAGAATGACCTAGACAATCTTGGGTTGTGGTGTCAAAAAAAACGGAATGATACTGAATGCAACTAAGTGTGTAAACATAACATTCACCCGTCGAATTAAATTTTTCTCAAATACTCCTACAAAATCAACGACTCCATTCTAAATGAAGCTGACACGATAAGATACTTGGGAGTGCTGCTAGACAAAAAATTAACGTATGTACTACATATTGATCACATCGTAAAGAAAGCCTCGAAAACCCTCGGTTTCGTTCTTCGTAACGTCAAGGAATTCCGTAAACCCGCTACAAAAATAATAATGTACAACTGCTTAGTGCGAAGCATTCTCGAATATGGGTCAGTGATTTGGCGTCCTCACTACGCGAACCACATGTTGAGAATCGAAAGGATCCAGAAAAGGTTTATGTGGCATTTGTCGTTTTCATCGGGTGTAGCGCAAAGAATACGTTCGTACGATAGCAGGTTAAAATTGTTTAAAATGCTTAACCTTAACAAACGTAGAGACACATTAGATATGATTTTTCTATACAAAATTATCCGTTACAAAATAAATTATTCTTCACTCCTTAGCCAATTCAAACTTAAAGTGCCGCATAGATATCCCCGTCATAGAATTAAAGCTCTCTTTTCGACGCCAATTCGCAGGACAGTAGCGGGTCGCAGGACAGTAGCGGGTCGCAACTCGCCAGTTCCTCGTCTATGCAGCTTGTATAACCATTTTATCGTTAATATCAATAATTTAGATATATTTCACGACTCTTTGGTTAAATTCCGTCTATCGTGACCTAATTTTCTTTAAACTTTCAAAACTTATTTTTTTGTCTTTTAATAATATTGTTTACTATTTAAGTAAATACATAGATACGAGTCAAGCCCTTCGCGGACTACTTTTTTCAATTCACTAATTTACTTGCACGTGGTGTTCATCTGTTAAAAATTGTGCAATTAGTATAACCCTAGAATATAAACCACTCATAATGTATTTGTTGTAACAATTGTTGATGAACCTTAATAAATAAATAAAAATAAAAAAATGTATCCAAATATCATTATTGTCGCTCTCATTCTTGTCTACTTTTAAGTCAAATAGTTACTTTAAGCCAAACATTTACTTGAAATATAACAATTAGATGGTGATAGTGGTGGTGATGATGTCGATGATGATTGTAGTGATGATGATGATGTGAATGGTAATGATGCTGATGATAATGGTGATCATGATGATAATGTTGATGGTGATGATGATGATATATGTAGGTATGTACAACAAAGTTTATATGACTTTAACAAAATACTTATTTAGATTTATTTATTAATTACATATAGATAGATAGATGGTCTTACACAGATGAGAAGGATTTTGAATTAGAATTAGAAGTTCTATTAAAATATTTGTTACATGTTAAATGTTTTTTGTGAACGATAAAATGTGTTTTGTAATAACAATTTTTCATTACTGTGCTATCTTTCTCGTTTTATGTTTATGAGAAAATCATTCGTGTTACTACAAAAGTGTGACCTTAAATATCGGTTTTTGTTGTATTTAACTTAAATATTTCTGTGATTTTATAATTATTGACATTGCTTGAACTTATTTGTACGTTTAAGACCATAAAACCAAAAGAAAAAAGGGGTTTACAAAAATCACCCGAAAAGTGCCATTGAAATTCGGAAAGTGAAATTCACCCGAAGAAGGTTTCTAGATAATTTAAAGTAGGCACAACTTTAATAGTCGATCACAAGAGCGCTTTGAGAAACTATATGTAGGTAGTGTTAAGAGAGATTCTTATCTTTTTTCTCAAGTAACCCTTCTAGAATGCTCCAAGACCATTGTAGACCGGTTTTAGATAATTTATAGTCTATGATAGTTTTCTTAGTAATGCTATTTTAAAACCAAAATACTAAAGCGTTAGAAACATAAGACGCAATTCTCTAAAGACTAATAGATTTCAAGTTTAATGAGTTACAAAATATAAACTACTAAATTGGAACATGGCGAAATTAGATATAATATTTCTGACTTTTTCGCGCAATGTTTAATCGGTTAGAAAGCGCGAATTGACGTGCGACTTTAAATACTTTGTGAAAAGTGATGTAAAACCTGCCATAAAAGTAATGCGCTCGCTAAATTTTAACTTTTTATGTATAAAATATAATAAATATATAAATATAATAAAAATACAGTTATCGATTTTCGGTTTTAAATATTTATAGAAAGTTTAAATATACAAAATAACTCACAAAACAAACCATTTCAAAGAAGTTCTAGACTTCTTCAAGCTAATTTCTACTTAGATTTACTTTTTAAAAAGAAAAGAATATTTGCTCGGCTACTTCATAGTCCTTTTTTAATTAGAAAAATGGCGATAAGACTTTAAAGTTTTTTTCAAAACACTGTTAGGAGGAATTTGTCTATAGCTTTATTTATAGAAACACTTTAGAATGCGAAAATATTATTTTTACTTGCTTTAGTGCAGTTGATCTTGTAGAAGAATGTTCACTCCTATGAAGCTTTTATGATTGTCTACAAAACGCGATGTTTCTAAGAGATATTTTCTTTTGACAGTATTACAAAACCTTTACAAAAGTTATAGAGAATAGTGAGCGTATAATGTAATAAAATACTTTTCAAAACATTAGGTAAAAAAAACAATTTAAAAAAATCCAATTTGTCGCAAAAAATGTTATTCTGTATAATTATATGGAGTGTGTTCTTATGACTAGAAAGGTGGATATATTCCCTATCATATAAATATAAGGAATATTTTAATGACATATCTAACTTATGTTGGAAGAAATAAAATTTTTATTACAAAATTGAAGGTATTTCTTCACGCCAATCACATTTTATGCAATGATTTCACTGTATTCTATTGATAGACGGCACA